CCCAGTGCCCTTTTCTCTACCCACTCACTGAGTGAATGAATGGGACTGAGAATTAAAAGCCAAAAGGGCTGGATTTCCTGAACTGGAGACAAACCATTCAGTTCCCCAGTACCTATTCCTACTCCAGTACTCTGGTACTGAAGTAAGAACCACATGGGACTTGCTGTTCGACATCTTACCTTGGAGGCGGTAGCAGGAGGAGGTCCTGAAGCCTCATCACTCGGCCTAAGGAAAATAAGAAGGAAGATGCCAGCAAGTCAGCCCAGAAGGACAAAGATCCTGTGAACAAGTCTTGGGGCAAAGCTAAGAAGAAGTGATCCAACGGAAAAGTGTGAGACAAGCTCAATAATCTGGTTCTGTTTGACAAAGCAACATACAACAAGCAAGGAGGTCCCCAACCATAAACTTATCACCCTGCAGTAGTCTCAGAGAAACTGAAGAAATTAATGAATAAATGGGTGAGAAAGGATCTATTAAATGTCTACTATGTTAGGCATTATACTGGTAGCAAATGAGGAGTTGGAGGGTTGACTAGATGATCTGCAAGGCCCCTTTCAAACACTGAGCTGGTTCTGGCAAGCAATTGTCAACCTCATTATCTATGTGTACATCCCTGGAAAGTACACTGCCAAGATAACGGAACTTACCCACAGTATTCCAAATTTCTCCATTTGCTATAACAAATACTTCCATGTATTTATGATGTAGTGCTGGCTGGTGGAGAATCTCTGGTTTTTTGGGTGTTGTTAGGCAAAAATTACCACAAGCAGCAGAGAATCAATCCATACTTTGCTGCATCTCAGCTTCAGAGGCTGTGTATCTGCAAACAGAAAATCATGAATCAATTTTCCCTCCATTTTATTCTTCTGTTCTCAGGGGGCTCTTATCTTGGGGTACAGGACCATGATTGGGAAGTATCACTCTGAGTCTCCCTGTCAAAACTAGCAGCTTCAACAAATCAACCAATATGCATTTATGAAAGGCCTATTATGTACCAGAAAGAAATTAAATAGTTTCTACCCTCAAAATGCGGTACCCTCAAAATGCATATATTCTATTGAGGGAGACAGTGTGCACAGGGACACCTCATTTTGCCATACTTTGCTTTAGTGTGCTTCACAGATACTGCATTTTTGACAAATTGAAGGTTTATGGCAACCCTGCAGTTCCAATAGCATGTGCTCACATCGTGTCTCCATGTCACATTTTAGTAATCTTTGCAATATTTCAAACATTTTTGTTATTATTATATCTATTATGGTGATTCTGTGAACAGTGATCTTTGATGTTACTATTATAATTGTTTTGGGGCTCCATGAACAACGCCCATATAAGATGGTGTGCTGATTGGCTGAAATTCTGAGACACATTGCTTTATTAGGCTAGCAATAGCCAATAATTGAGGTTATTGGTCTCTCTTGGTGACCAAAGGCCCCCAAGTAAGCATGGGTTGGGAGGCTTTAAATTCAGATGTCTTCCTTCTGACAGTACAACACTGGAACCTCCCCTGACAAACCAAAGGCAATCTTAATTGAGTTGGTTGGCCTTCAGTTTTGACTGATCACACCCCTCTGATACATAAAGAATATCAGTTGTTCCATGTAGACAGCTGCCTTCCACAATCTTGGTTAGAAAAAACATAAGCCATCTTGAACAGGTTTTTGCTGGCTTGGTCTCCCTCTTTTGAGATCATATTGTTGGGGTTTAGGGATTCTGGGACCCTGAAATAGCAACACGTGGATCCTGTCTGAATGAATTCGACCCAAGCCTTCTTTCACCCAAAGACAAGGTTTATTAGAATACTGATAGAGGGTGGGCATGATTCTAAAAATCAGCCACACTGGCCAGACTCTTAAGGAACCTAAGCATTTGTATCGCTAATGCAGGCAGGCCAGATTGAATCTGAGCCATTGACCAGATTTTAAGAATCTGAGCACCTTGATGGCCGCCAAGATGGATCTTTTATACAGAAAGATTGTGGGAAGGATCTAGGAGGGGCCAAGTAGTCTGGAGTGACTGGGAGGTAACAGAGAATGCCAGGATCCTGGACCATGCCATGGGAGAATGGGGTCTAGAGAAGATTAAGAGTGGAAAGTTGCCTGGGGTGATCTGGAGGTAATAGAATTGGGAGATTGGGTATAGCCACAACGAAAATTCAATTGAGAGGATTACTGGGATGATGCCTCAGCCCAAGGCCAGAGATTTGACCATGTGGGAAAATTTTGTGTGTGGGGGGGGAGTGTTATTCCAGGACCTATACCAGATTTTGATTAGGAGAGGTAAGGATACAAAAGTCATCCCCCAGAGGAAGGGAGCTTAGCTTAAATTGGCTTCTGTTTATGGGTCCTTGGCAAGGTGAATACCAGGAATAATTACATTCCTCAGCTAGTTCAGGCTAGGAGAGGTTTCTTTTGAGCTAGGCTAGATTGGAGTTTTGCCAGAAAAAAAGACAGAATATTAAATACCAAATGATACAGTATAATATTAAGTACCCTCAGCGATGAACTTAATAGATAAATGTGCATGTTCTGCCTACTCCACCTGTTGAGGTTGAGTCTTAGGGGTGCTGGGACCCCAAAATAGCGACACATGGGTCCTACCCCAATGAATTCCACCTATGCCTTTTTTCAGCCAAAGACAAGGTTTATTAAAGATTTGCCATATTGGCCAGACTCAAATCTGTACATTCGTGACACATTGACAAGAGGGCTAGATTAAATTTGAGCAATGGGCCAGATTAAATCTCAGCCATTGGCTAGATTTTAAGAATCTGAGAACCTTAATGGACACAATGGATCTCATGTATGGAAAGACTGTGGGATGGATCTAGGCGTGGCCAAGTAGTTTGGGGTGACTGGAGGAGGGGTCTAGGGAGATCTTGCTGGGAGTACTGGGAGGTAGAATAGATAGGATCAAGGATGGGAAGTAGCTGGGAGCCATGGGGAGGTTACAAACAATGGCGGATTAGGCCACGGAGAATTAGGAGATTTCTTGTAGGACAAGGAAAGGGCAGTTGATAAGATTATAGCCTCAGGGGAATGCTAGAGACTTTCTAGATCAAGTGGGAAAATTCTACGAATTCTAGGTGGGGATTTCCAGAGTCTGTACCCCTTTACACAAACTAGCTGTTCCTATCTCTCTCCTTCTGGCCTCCCCATTCCCTGAGACACAACAATATTGAAATTAGGCCAATTAATAATTTTACAGTGGCCTCTAAGTATTCAAGTGAAAGGAAGAGTCAATTGATGAGGCAAACTTCATTGTTGTCTCATTTAAAGAAATTGCCACAGCCACCCCAACCTTCGGTAACCACAACCCTGATGAGTCAGCAACCATCAGCATCAAAGCAGAGGAGCAGTTAGGTGGCACCGTGGATAGAGCTCTGGCCTTGAAGTCAGAAGGACCTGAGTTCAAATCCAGTCTCAGACACTTGATGCTTCATAGCTGTGTGACCCTGGGCAAATCGCTTAATTAAGTCCCTAATTGCCTCACCAACAACAACAAAAAAAAACAAAACACCATCAAAACAAGACTCTCCACCAGCAAAAAGAGTACTCTCATAAAATGATTAGCAATCACTTTTTTAAGCAATAAAGTATTTTTTAATTTAAGGTACGTACATTGAGCTTTTTATGCAAGATGAGATTCAAATAGAGTGGCCAATGAGGAGCCCATTATCTGAAATACCACTTAAAGCTACTTTAGGAGAAAATGAGATTCAAGTAGACTAGTTAATGAGATACAGAAACTAACAGTGGTCCCTAAGATCCTGGCTGGACAATAGTATAATAATAGATTATGTCCTAAATTCTGAAAATTCGTCCCTGATTACCTCATCTCTCCCTGCCCTTGTTTCTGGTCATCTCCTCCCACCTCCCAGGTTTTATTTTATAAGAATCTTTATACTCTCCCGGCTAGTGGGCGTCTCCCTATATCTGCCCCTCTCCCTGGGGGGGGGGCTACCACTCCATCTTAAACTGGGGTCTCCCTCGAGTTGTCTCCCTTAATAGACAAAGGAGCCTTCTTGGTGTCTGTTACCCCAGTAACAGCTTGGAGACAGCTTGGAATTCTTCGGAGAGGACCTTGACCCCAACATTTTGGGGTCACCCTAGACCTCAACAATAATATTGTACACTTAATAGACTACAGTATAGTGTAAACACGTCTTTTACATGCATCCAGAAACCAAAACATTTGTGACTCATTTTATAACAATATTCACCTTATTGTTATAGATGGAACAGAACCCACACTGTCTCCTGAGGTGTGCCCATACATATAGTGTGTGCATATAAACATACACACATATGATACAGTTGACACAAGACAATTTTGTAGAGAAGGCTTTAGCCTCTGGGAGGATCAGGAAAGACCAAACGAAGGAGACGGGGCTTGCGCTGAGCTTTGCAGAATACAACATGACTCAGTCCAGGCTGAAGCAGGTGTCCAGACTGCCTCCTACGGAGCTTGCTCCTGGCCCTTCCTGGAGTAACAGCGCAGCTCAACATTTCTTCCCGTTCTTTAATTTCTTGTATCACTGTGTCAGCGTTGGGAGAAACTTTGGGTCACTTAGTCGAAGTCCCTTATTTTACAGCCTGGGGACATTGAGGCTCAGAAAGGAGAGCTGACTTGTCCAAAGCGGCATTCTCGGGGTGCCCTGCTGGTGAGCCCTGGCTTCCCAGAACGCCCACTCGCCTTCGCTTTGCTCAAGCAGGCACCAGAGCTACCAGGCTGCCCGCGTCTGGACGCAGCCAGAGTAACAACCTGGGAATTGGGGTGCCCCAGCTCCCTTCCCTGAAACCACTTAAGTACACCCAGCTGGCGGGAGTCTCTAGGGCCGGCCCCGCAGGCCGCTCCCCGGCAGCCCTCGCCCTTTGGGGGTGTGGCTAGCTGCGTCCGGCCCCGCTCCCAGCCTTCCTCGCCTCTCCCGGGGCTCCTCCTGGGCCACGTGCTCCGGGCCCGCACAGAGCCCGCCCCTGGGCCTGAGTCGCTGATTCCCGGGCCACGCTCCCTCTTCTCCGCCCCTCGCCTGTCAGACTCCGCCCCCAGGCCCTTCTCCTCCGCCAGCCTCCAGCCTTGGACCATTTGGTTGCCGGGCTGCCCCGCCCCCGGAGAAGATGGCGCTGCGAGTGGCCAGGAGCGTGCGGGTCGCTGCCTCGTCCCTGTGGGCGGCGGCCGGGGCCGAGACCTCCGGGTCCCTGGCCTCGCTCCCTGCCGCCTCCGCGCGCCTCCGGGTCCGCCCCGGCCCAGGATCCCCTCCCGTCCTAGCGGCCGCCGCCTCCCGGGGCCTCTGCACCAGCGCCCCGCGACCCGTCGGTGAGTGAGCCTGGGACCGGGCCGGGGTGGGGGTGGGGTATCGCGGGCCCTAGTCTGGGCTGCGCTGGGGCGGGCAGCGCTGCTGTTCTGTTTTCTCCTCTGTCCAATGAGGGCATTAGACCAGGTGGTTTCCAAGCCCCCTTTTCGTCCTTAGGTCATAAATTACAACCCCCGCAGGACCGTGACCCTGGGTTACCCAGAACGTGCCCGCCCCCCTCTGCCCGGGCACAGGGGAGGTGCTCGCTACGTGTTGTAGGGGCAGACGTGCCGCGGAGAGGATGTAGGGTTCAGCTTCCACTCCCGCATGTCAGTGTAAATCGTGGGGGGTTGGATTATAGGATCTGAGAGGCCTCTGCTAGTTCTCAAGGTCTCTGAATGTTGTAAGATTTTCCAAGCCTTTTCAGCAAAGGGGTGATAACCATCCTTTTCCTATCCCTTGTTTTGACTTACTCTGCCCAGTATGAAGGTTGTATGTTCTAATTCCTTATTGTCCTAATTGCTAAGTACTGGCACAGTCCAGCTGAAGTGCCATCGATCTACGTGAATTGCTGACAAGACTGATTGGCAGGGGAGGAGAGGACAGAGACTGGCCAGGCTGAAAAGGTCTCATTCCAGGCCATGCTCTTCCCTTTGTCCGATCTGTAGTTTTCATCTTTTGCAATGAACAGTGTGTAGTTTGTATTCCAAGATCCCCTGATCCTGTATATGATTGTCTTAGTCTTCGCAAGTTGCTATGGCCGTTCCTTAAAAAAATAATCATTAACAGCTGACAGACTTTTCAAGAATTTTGGAAGGTATTTAGTCCAATCCATTTTAAGTGTGGGAGTCCTTGGCCACAGCAGTGAAGAGTCTTACTTCAGGTCACACAGGTAGTGATTGCCAGACTGGGGTTCAGATCCAAGGTAAATTCATCCCAACCTTGTGATAGGGTACAGGCCCTGGGACTCCCCCCTCCCCCCAACTCTCCTTGAGTTTTCTCCTTTTCCCACGTGGTGAAGTCTTTGGTGTTTGCCTAAGGCATCAAACCCCTATCCTCTTTCTTTGTTGCTATCTCCCAATTCTGTTAACCTCTAACCTAGCCCAGCCCTCCATTGTGTTAACCTCCAGATGGCTCTCAGCTACTTCCCACCTTTGATCCTATCTAGACCCCATTCCACCTCGCTGTTACTCCCAGCAAGATCTCCCTAGACCCCTCTTCCAGTCACCCTAAACTACCTGGCCACTCCTAGGTCCTTTCTACAGACTTTCTGTATATAAGATCCATTGTCTCCATTAAGGTGCTCAGATTGTTAAAATCTGGGCAATATCTGAGATTCATTCTGTCCTGCTTCTCAAGTATAAGCATCACAAATATTCAGATTCCTGAAGAGTCTGGCCAGTACGGCAGATCTTTAATAAACCTTGTCTTTGGCTGAAAGAAGGCGTGGATTGAATTCATTAAGGCAGGATCTCTCATGCTATTTCAGGGTCCCAGCACTCCTAAACTTCAACACTTGGACCTAATTAGTGGCAAAGCTGGAACTTGGGTTTCTTAACTTTTACTCCAAGTTTCCTTATCCCTTGTGATACTGCCCTTTCTGCAGATAACATTGTCCAAAGCCAAAACCATCTTGTCTTTTGAAATGGTTTGTATTTTCAAAGTGTGTTTAAGACATAATGCCTTTATTTTTCTGAAATACTGATCTTACGTTATAGTTCGAAAATTCACAGACAAGCATGAATGGGTATCAGCTGAAAATGGTATTGGAACTGTGGGAATCAGCAATTTTGCACAGGTATTGTTTTTTCCATATCTATAACGGCTTTTGTAATTCTGTAACTATCCTTATTCTCAATAGAATATGGTGGAATTTACTTGGAATTTGCTTTTGAGGTAATGCTCTTTAGTACTTTTTTTTTTGGCTAGGCAGTGGGGTTAAGTGACTTGCCCAGGGTCACACAGCTAGTAGGTGTTATGTGTCTGAGGCTGGATTTGAAGCAGGTCCTCCTGAATCCAAGGCTGGTACTCTATCCACTGCACCACTTAGCTGCCCCTTTTAGTACTCTTAAGATTAGGGCTTGGAATCTTTTTGTTGTTGTTGAAGTCTACTTGCCTAATGAAAGTTTAATTGAAAAAGCAACTTAATTTAGTTTTAGTCTTTTGTCCTCCCTGGGTCATCTCTACTTAAAACAGTGACACCCAGATCCCTTCTTTTAAAAAGTAGCTTGTGGCACTGATTTTTTTTTTATTACAGTACTTTTTTTACTGTGCTACATAGTGGACCTTTCTTGGTTACTGGCAGTTGAAAATGTGACAATATAGTCCTATAAGAATAGTCTTAGAGCTGCTGCTTGGTGACCAGGGCAAATTTATCCCAGGGACTTACTGTAGTCAAACTGAAGAGACTTAACCAAGTGTCAGGCCAGAGCATCTCCACCTTGGCCTACAGAGTAAATTTAACTATTCCTTTTCCTATTTCACCACCTCAGTTTTGTCTTAACCTAGCCTATTGGCTATTGCTTTCCTATAGAAACTGTATATGGAGTTTCTTTTAACCAGGAATTTTCTTGAATTTTGAGTACTGTCGCATCAGTCTTTTATCATTTGCAGAATTATAATAAAGTTCAGGTCTGAATTCAGATTTTATATTTATTGAATGGAAACAAAGTATTTGAATAGTATGTACTAAATATTTCAAGGACTTATGCATTTAATATTCTAGACCTTTGGGCAGATATGAAGAAAATAAGACTAGCCCCTACCTTCAAGAACTTTACAGTTTAGTAATAAGACCTAACATAAAAAAAAGGAAACTTTAATTATTGGCAGTTATTTAATATTTAAAAATTGTCCAGAATTACTAAATGTTATATTGTCCTGGGTTTAACAAAGTCCTAAATATATTTCTGTTTATTGTGGTAATTATAACATACTGTTTCTGTGTGTTTTTAAAATTTGGGATTTATCTAACTTGGAGAAAATTTCAATAGCACTTTATTTGGGAGGTAGCTTGGTGCTGTGAGAGAAGAGTGCTGATTTGGAATCAGAGGACTTTGGTTCTCCTGTTTCTTTTGCCACTTAGTGTGTGATCTTGGGTAAGTCATCTAACATCTCTAGAACCTTCATTTCCTCATATTTAAAAGGAGAATGGAACTAGAGCTAAGCTCCTGTTCAGCTCTAAATCCATGCTGCTGAACCTTCTATTTGTGGAACCATTAATGTTTTATTTTGTTTTTAGCTTGTGAGGGACTGCTGAAATGAAGCCGTTGTTTTAATACATTACCTTAAAGTATTTTCTTGCTGCAGAAATGTTCTTCCATTACCTCTATGGCTGGTAGATACAAAGCTGGCCTTAGACCTAGGTAGACCCTACTTTATATTCTGTCTCTGATACTTTTTTTTGGTGACATTGGGCACATTGTGTCATCTTTCAGTGCTTTAGGCAGCTCTCTCAAACTAAGCTGCATAAAAGTTGCTAGTCTTCATTGGTGATAAAGGGAATTTCTTCTTCCAGGAGTTTCCTCTACCTGAGAGATCACTGGTTCAGTCCCTGTTCCTTTTTGTTGTTGCTTTAGAGCAGAAGTGTTCAGATCTGATCCATTTCTATTTGAATTTGACACCACTGCTTTAGAGGAATGGGAGGAAAACCAATGAATAGAAGAGCTGTTGAGATTCTTTGTCATTCAGTAATAATAGTAGAAAGAACACTAATAATAGCTAACATATAGTGCTTAAGAGTTTACCAAATGCTTTACATATATTATCTCTCTTAATCTTCACAACATTATGACATAGGAAATAATCCTTTTTTACAGAAGAGTATCTGAAGCAGAGGTTATGTGACTTGCTCAAGGTCACACAGGTAGTGCGGCAGGATTCTAGCCACATCTTTATGACTCAAATCCAGCACCCTAATTCACTACTGTAACTTGGGAGTTTATCATTACAAAATTCTTGGATGTCTGTTTTTTTACATGTCACTGTACCAGGTTCTTTTGGTAAATAAACATGAAATGCTCCTTTTCCTCAAAAAGTTTACAGTCTAGTTGGGGAGATAATCTTGCACAGTGCACTATAATACAGGATCTGTAGTTCAAATTTTAGTCATGAAGAATGGCTTCACGGAGGTGGCATTTTGAACTAGTCCTTGAAGGATGAATATAACAACTGAGATTTGTATCTAACACTCTAAAGTTTGCAAAATGTTTTTACATACAGATATTTACCCCTAATTTTACAGATGAGGAAACTGAGGTTCCGAGAGGTTATTGGACATTTTGAACCTTTAAGAGACCCCAAAAGCATCTCAAACTTAGCATGTCCAAAATAGAATTCATTATCTTTCATCCAAAACCAACTCTTCTGAATTTCCCTATTTCAGTTGAGGTCACCATCATCATTCTTGGTCACCCAGATTTGTAATCACAACTCATCATTATCCTTCACCCACATATCCAGTTAGTTGTCAAATCTTGTCATTTTAAACTCCATAAACTTTGTATCCATCCCATTCTCTTTACTTAAATGACCACCACCCTAATTGAGTCCCTGGATTATTATAATTGCATTTAATTGGTGTCCAGCCTCCATTCTCGCCCTTATCCAGCTCGTCTTCTACATAGTTGACCAAGTGATAAACCTAAAGTCTTGGCTTCTCGATAAAACTCCAATGGCCATTTCTCTCCACTAGGATCAAATACTGTGTTTGGTATTTAGTCTTTCACACTCTGGCACCAGTTTCCTTTTCTAGCTTTATTATACTTTCCTCCCCTTCATGCATTTTTTCAGCCTAGCCAAACTAATCTAATTGCTGTTTTTCAGACACAACGTTGCATCTCCTTATTTATATATCTATATGCCTTTATGGTAGTTGCTACCTATGTTTGGAATGTACTCCTTCCTTACCTCCACCTTTTAGAACTAACTCTTGGTTTCCTTCAAAGCCTAGCTCAAGTGTCACTTTCTCCATGAGGCCTTTCCCTATCTGCCCAGATGCTAATGTCTCTTCCCCCTCCAATTACATTGTATCATGTTTATTTGGTATATATACCTCTATCTGTATATGCTGTCTCCCTCAATAGAAAGAAAGTTACTGGGGACAAGTATGTTTTCATTTTTGTCTTTGTATCCTCAGCGAAATGTCTGGCACACAGGTGCTTAAGATTTGTTGATAGAGTAACTGATTAAGGGACTTGCCTTTTGGTCACACAATTAGTATGAAAAGATTTCCATATCTGGCATTTTGATTTCAAATCCAGCACTTAGTGCTTCTCCCTCAAGTCTAAGATTTCAGTGGGTAGAAATGTTGGGGGAAAGGGATGAGGTTGAATATTCCAAGGGGATATAGAGTGATGTAAACAGAGGCACAAATCATTTTTGGAAAAGGACAAGTCATCCATTTTGGCTGAAGCAGTAGGTTTCATGAAACTATGACATTAGTCATTTTATCTGATTTGAAGTTTTACCCCTTTACCCTTAGGAAGCATTGGGAGATGTAGTTTACTGTAGTCTTCCAGAAGTTGGAACAAAATTGAACAAACAAGGTGAGTATCTTTCTGTCTTTAAAGAGAAAAAGTGACATTTTTCATGAAATTTCCAAATTAATTATTAATAGGATCCAGACATAAAATTAACGTGATGCCCTTTTCCAGTGGTGTCAAACTCAAATAGAAACAGGCCACTAAGGATCCCTGTGGGCACATTTTGACTTGGTTTGAAAATGTATTATTATGTTTTACTGCATTTTCATTTATTTTGTTAAACATTTCACAATTACATTTTAATGTAGTTCAAGATGTTTGTTCAACACCTTTGCCCTTGTCTATAATCAACTTGTAACTAAAAAGAATTGTTTTGAATATAATAAGGTATGAGGCAATGACTTTCCCTTGGAGAAAAATATCTCACTGGACAAAATTACAGAAATTATTTGTGTAGAGGGAGTAGATAGCAAAGTGGACTTTAGGGTTAAGAAGATCACATATATCTGCCTATGACACATACTAACACTAACCATGAGCAAATTATTTAATCTCTCAGTGCTCGACACCTAAGATTATAAGTTATAGATTTGAGCCTATAAAAAGAGGCTTCTACACCAGGAATTCCCTTACCCCACTGATGAAATGATTGAAAACAAATTCTGTAAACTTAATTTTGGTGTGTAGCACTTTGTAGGATTATCATTCTGGCACATCACTCCCCTGGGACACTTGAGTGATTGATCATCAAAGAAAACTTAATAGGTGTTAATAGAATGGCCTTATAGGAAAGGCTTGATGTTTCTCGTGTCAGTTATTACTGCTCTGCAGATGAATTAATAACTGAAGTTGTCCTACAGCCCAGACCCAAGAACTTTCTGAGTCACAGTTTTGAACCAGGGAGAGATTGAGAAGATGATAACACTCATAAGCAGGTTTCAGATGGGACTAAGATTGTCAGCCAAGGAAATCTGTGATAAGATAGTATTTACATTAAATTTTAAAAATTAGTCTTAAATTTTTTTCTTTGCTTTGTATTCCCTTTGTTTTTCCTATAGTTCCATAGTAAGATTTTTTTTTCTTCTGTAAGACAATTGGGGTTAAGTGACTTGCCCAGGGTCACACAGCTAGAAAGTATCTGAGGCCGAATTTGAACTCATATCCTTCTGACTCCAGGGCTGGTGCCCTATCCACTGTGCCACCTAGTTGCCCCGTAGTAAGATTTCCCTTGAAAAGTCTTAACCTTGTCTAGCCAGAATAATGGGAGAAAGATGTTTCTACACATAAGCAGTGTAATTAGTTTGGCCTTTTGGACAGGGATGGTTGTGGTAGTAGGAGTGGTTTGCCACATGGAATGAGCCAAGATAGCCAGGTCTGATAAATAGGGTAAAAAACTTGGGAGGTTTGGACAAATAGTTTATATTGTTTAGCTCTTCTCCACCCTTTCCCCCCTTTTCTTTATATAAGGGAGGGGAGAAGTTTCCATGCAGACACCAGTTATTAAATATATATTGATGCCTATCACTTTATCTGATTAGAGAAGTATTGTTGGTTTAGTTAGTTTCATGGAGCTGCCTGTTTTGTATCAAACACTGCTAAGCCTGGGGATGCAAAGACAACATTTGAAAACCAGCCTGGCATGTTGGAAACATTGGAATTTTAATGAGGAGAGGCCCTGGTTTCAAATTCTGGTTCTGTTACTTCATGGGATCACAGAATTTGAGATTTATAAGGAACTTCAGCAACATCTAGTCCAACTTATACCTAAAAGCATTTCCACCATAGCATACCAATAAATGGACATCTATTCTCTGCTTGAAGACCTCCAAAGAGGGGAATTGGATCATCTGAGGCAGTCCATTCTAGTTTGGAGCAGTTCTATTTGTTTAAGGAAGTCTTTCCTGATATCAGGCTTAAATGTGCTTTTTTTGCAACTTTTTCTTTTCTTTTTTGGCTAGGCAGTGGGGTTAAGTGATTTGCCCAGGATCACACAGCTAGTAAATGTTATTGTGTCTGAGGCCACATTTGAACTCAGGTCCTCCTGAATTCGGAGCCAGTGCTCTATCCACTGTGCCACCTAGTGGCCCCCTTTTTTTTTTTTTTTGCAACTTTTACCCATTGTTCCTACTTCTGCCTTCAGGAACCAAGTAGAACAAGTCTGATGCTTCCATATGGCAGCTCTTTAAATACTTGATCACATCTGTCATTTTCCTGCAGTCTTCTTTTCTCCAGACTAAACATCCCCACTTCTTTGATGAGATCTTAATATAAAATGAACTTGGACCCTTTACTTGTTGCATTTTCTGAATGCTCTTCATCTTATCAGTGCTCTTAAACTGTGGTTCTCCAAAGTGAACACTGTTCTCCAGATGAGATCTGATAAGGGCAGGATACAAAGGAATTCTGGCTTCCTTATTACTGAAAGCAGTGTCTTTTAATAATAGTCACATTGGCTTTCTGAGGATGGCTAATTTGCTTCTTCATTCTGAGCCTGTCTTCTATATTCAAGTGGATTTGTGATATTTTCAATTTAGGCAGTCCTTCCAAGTATACAGATTGTAACTTGTCTGAGGTTGTGCAACTTTTGTCTCTGTCATTCCATAAATTCTCCATAGGATCTACTGAACCTGCTTGGGTGGGGGAGTGGATTAGTGTCCCCTACAAGATGTTTTGATGTTGCATGGTCAGCAGTAGAGCTTGCTCAGTATACATAAATTTTTTCATTTTGATTTTACCATATGATCAACCTGCCTCCTTTTCCAATTACGTAGCTCTGATACATCTTTTCTATCACTTCTCTTGTACAGTTTTTTTGTTTGTAAGATTTTGCAGCCTAGTTACACTTAGATGCACCTCTTCATTGCCCTTTAAATAACCCATTACTTTAATTCTTCAGAGGCTGTGATATTCTATGACTTGCAACCATAGTATCGCTTGGAAAATATTGATGTCAGAAATATGAACTTTTGTTTCAGGGAGAAGATTTGGGTCATTAAAAGTACTGTGCAATTTCTCAAAGGCAATTCAGCCTGCCTTCCTCCTTTTCATTTCTGGGCTCATCCATAATATCTGAGATACTTATCAAACCAGTACTAAAGATTGTCAATTCAGTTATACACTGTAATTTATAAGGAGCATTTTTCATTGACTTGGTTTTTCCTAGGTGAATAGTTAAGCAAAACAAATGAGGTACTTTGGATCTCATTTAGAAAGCTTTTTCAAGGAAGTCAGTCCAGAAGGAATAAGAAACTCTCAAAAATGAAATTCTGAAGACACATAATTCCAAGGAAGGAGAGAAGAGTTCTTAATCAGACCCTTGTAGCCACACAAGGAACTTGACAACTCATTTTTTAAAAGATAAAGCAAGAGTAGGTAACAGGATGAATACAAACATGACAGTCTTGCTGTGAGTAAAATTCAAGGTAGAGGCTGTGGCACATTTTCTCTGAGCCATGTAACATTTTATTAACAAGGTGTGAACTTGAAAATAGAATGAATCTAATCACTCCCTTAGTGAGCCAAAAGACCCTGAAAAGAAGGACAGGTCCACTTTTATAGGTTTTGGGGAGAACAGAACAAAGAACAGAAAAGGGTAGGTGAGGAAATAATACATTTGATGACATCATGGGGTTGATAACAACATGATTGATTACATAGCTGAGGCGTGGGGAACAATATCATTGGTTGGTAGTTGGGAATGTGGGGCTAGCAGCCACTCACTCCTTCCTTCCTGTGACTAAGAAACATTCATTGTTTGAGTTGACCTGCAAGATTTGGATAGCAAACCAGATGTCCTTGAAGGATGGCTTGGTTGTGTAAAGATACTAGACCATAATCCCTAGTGTGCACCCACATTTCCCAAGGATAGCAGATTTCCTTGAGGTAAGAATAGAATAATGACTAGCAAGAGAACTGAATTTCTAAACTTAACTCATTACAGGCCAGCTGAATTTCTGAAGTAAGTTCAGAGACAAGAATCATGACTTAGGCAGTTAGGCAAAATCAATTAACTGTGAATGGGATCAATAAAAAATGATCTTAGTCTTGAAAGAATAGTGTTTTGAGAACTATGGATATCAAAGGTTATACTGAACAATCATAAAGAGCTAATACTGGTAAGAAAAACAAAGGATAGCAAAAGTGATTTTTTTAAGCTATATTGATCTTTGGTGGTTTTATATTTTCTTGAAATGATAAAATGAAAATTATTTAGCTTGGCATTTAAAGCCTTTCATAGTCTGTCTCTCACCTATCTTTCCAGACTTATTTCACATTATTTCCCTTCCCTAACACTTAATGTTGTAACCAGACTGGCCTATAGATTCTGGATGTCAGCATTCTAGTTCTACTTCTTGGCTTTTGCAAAGTTTAGCCATCCTTCTCCTACCCTACCATGCTTGAAATTCACTCCCTCTTCACCTCTATTTCTTAGAATCTCTAGTTTCCTTCCTTCCTTTCTGCCATGTGCAGAAAGCCTTTCTTTATCCTCTCCCTTCCTCTTCGCCCCCCCCAGTTCTTTTTCCTTCCTCAAATTATCTTATATTTACTTATTTGTTTACTTGTTTGGATCACCCAAAGGACTTGTATTCTTAGCATTTGGTGGTGCCATGTACATAGTAGGACCTTAATAAATGCCTTTTAAATTAAAATGTATTAACTAATGGCATTAGACTAATTTAAAACAAATTATAAACCTATCATATAAATAACTAGTGGCTTCATTTGTTGCTTCTCCATATTTTTAATTTTCATTACTGATGTTTCTGACGTGTAATATAGTCTGTTTTTTTAAACTTCATTTAGATGAGTTTGGAGCTTTGGAAAGCGTGAAAGCTGCCAGTGAACTCTATTCTCCACTAACAGGAGAAGTAACTGAAATTAATGTAGCTCTTGCAGAAGACCCAGGACTTATCAACAAATCTTGTTATGAAGATGGTAAGATGTTGGCATTGATTTCTCAAGGGGTTATTAATGCTACAATTAGCATTTCATTTTTAAAAATTTAAACTTCATTTACTAATTTGTGACAATGATTTTGGAGTTTTTTCAGTGCTGAAATGAACTTTTAATGGAGATAAAGAGATTAATCAAATTCCTTCCAAGAGTTAAGTAATTGATTATCATTAAGTTAATGATACTGACAACATAACTAGGAAATGGGAAAAGGAAGAGGTACAAAGTTTAGATAATATTTAAGATTTTAAAAATATTCCTGACCTATTAAGATAAAAGTATAGCATTCCAACTGTTTTTCAGTAGTTTCTGTCAGTAGTGCTTTGACTGTTAAATTTTAAACACCAGTATAGTCTCTAATATTTCTTAGCTAAAGAGTTTCATTATCAGTTTTCAAAGGATTAATGATATAATTGCCCATAAATTTCATTTCTAAGGTCTCCACTCATGATGTGTTAAAAACAGTAATAGTTTCAGTAGAGTAAGCTTACTGACATACTTATTAGCCCTAGTGGCTATAGTGTTAGACTCTCTTTAAAGGTAAACTCTCTGGCCTTATTTGTAAATTAGGAATGTTATTTTCCTTTGGCCTTGGTACTTATAGCAGTGCTTAATACATCTGCTTTAGATCTAAGAGCCAGTCCCAAAGAATAGGGGCCAGGTTGAATTTTTCAGTTTTCAAGGTCAGAAAGACTAGGAGTGCACTAGCAAGCATAATGGTTCCCTATCTAAGGTCTAGAAGCAGATTAGGATCACCATGGATTGTGAAGTATAACAGCCTTCAGCTGTGTTATCTGACCATAAAGAATCTACATGGAAACTCTGGTAAGCAGTGGTTTTCCTGTAGCTTCTCTAGCCTGTAGAGCCAAAGCATGTCTTAGAGCAAAGGGGTCAAACACGTGACGTGCAGCCTGCAACGCTAACAAGTGTAGCCTAAATCAGATGAAAATGTGATGGGGAAATAGTTAACAAAATAAAAATACAATAAAACATAGATAACATTACATTTTAAAACTAAGTACAAGACCTATAGTGATCCCTATGTACCTATTAAGGATATTCATTAATGTCCTTATTAGTGGCCCCCATTTCTATTTGAATTTGATATCACTGACTTAAGAGTACTGAAGATTAGTCACCACAAATAAATGCCTGTGCTACTCTTCAGGTATTTCATACTTATTCAAACTTTCATGATCATATAGCAAATGCATAAAAGTTAGAAGAACTGGGGGCAGCTAGGTGGCACAGTGGATAGAGCACTGGCCCTAAAGTCAGGAAGACCTGAGTTCAAATCTGGCCTCAGACCAAACACTTGACACTTATTGCTGTGTGACCCTGGGCAAGTCACTTAACCCCAATTGCCCTTAAAAAAAAATTTTAAAGTTAGAAAAACAAAGTGTACTTTTGTAATTTTCTGTAAAAATATTAAGCGCCATGATGACACTGCAAGGGGCTCAGCATGCTGAACCTAACAGACAGATGAGTTTAATTTGGAGATTGCCTCAGATGGAGAAAATTCAAAATTACAGATGCCAAAGGTTATTTAATGAGACCTCAGTCAAATTTATTCTGCATTTTTTTTTCATTCCTTTGCCACTAAGCAGTGAGAACATTAAATCTATCCTGTGAAACTAAATTTTAACAAGGTCTTTGAATTTATTATTGTTTATTACATTCAGCAAATTTCTAGGAGTGGATTGAATATGAGGTAAGCCAACAGGTTGGATCTAAAATTCTTTTGTTGTTTAACAAAGTAATTTGGTTTTCAAAATAACTTCTTGATTACAGGTTGGCTGATCAAGATGACTCTCAGCAACCCTTCAGAACTTGATGAACTGATGAATGAGGATGCATATGAAAGATACATAAAATCTTCTATTGAGGACTGAACACTGGATCTCCGAATAAATTAGCAGAAGAATACAGCCCAGTATAGTTTTGTTCTAAATTAGTGGTATGTGGAAGGTTAGCAACTTTAACCCTTCTGAAACAACACCATGGCATGGAAAAAATCTTAACTACTCAGAAATGACTGGATAAAAATGCTTTTTACTATTTGCACCTTTTGCACAACTTCTTCCTAGTAATTTCAAGTTAGTGTCTGTCTAGTTCCGAATTCATTGCATCATGTGTGGTAAAAATGAATTCTGAGACCATGTACTTCAAAGCTAGATTTTTACCTGTAAAAAGCCTTAAATCAATAATGTTGTAATGGCCATTCAACTCCATCCATCATCAGTTTTGTTTAAAATACATTTGGTTTTCTGTCCATGGGAATAATTTACTGAGATTGATTAGCTGGCTGGTGTCAGATGCAGAACAATACCAACTTAATTTTTGAATAAACTGCTTGGCTGAAGTTATTTTATACAGATGAGGCTTCAACCTTGCAGCAGCAGATAATGAAATTTAATAAACTTTTTTTAAAACCCTGACTTTACTAGTTGTTTTTACACAAATGTTCTATCCAGCATTTCTCACAATAACTTGCATATATTGGTATGCTAAGTTCTGGGAATGACATTTTTACATACAAATTTATAATCAGTTTAAAAATGTAAATTCAACCTCCAAGGAAGTTTCAAAGAATATTTCTGCTTTGAAGCATTTCCCTAAAAGTCACGAAACTGGTTTTGTGTGTGTACTTATTTCCATGTTTGTGCTAAGCACTGGGAACGCAAGACAAAAATAACTTGAATTCTACTGTGGGCCAATAATGTGTATACAAATTAAAAATATGTACAAAGTAGATAAAAAATAATTTTGTTGAGAGAGAACACTAACAACTCTGGTAGAAGGAGTTTACTCCTGAGAGTTCTCTATGCTAATGAAATCACAGGTCCAGTCTCTAGCTCAATATCTCTGTGTAGTCACCAACCCCTAGAACTCCATTCCCTGACATTGCAACCCCAACACTAGGTAGAAAGAAGGTTGGGGGTTTTTCATATGTTTTCTTGTTATTTTGGTAAGACTTGTGAAGAGTTGTCCTTGACCATTTTGTATATCATTCACACACTGTTGTCCATACCATCTTTGAGCTATTTTGACATTTTTTTGGTTTTCTCCTACCTAACTTCCTCAGTATCCCTTGCTGTGTTCCATTTGCTTTGTGTGGTTACATACAGAAAGGGTTCTATCTTGGGCCCTTTTTTCTCTTTATGATCTTAAGAATTCAATTATCATCTCTAGCAAATGATCCCCAAATCTTATATATCAAATCCCCATCTCTCCCAAGCTCCAGTACTGCATTGTCTGTAAATGCTTGGCCTTCCCTGTACACAGGCAACTCGGATTCGACAGGTGTAAAACAAGTTACTGTTTCCTTTCAAATATACCTCTTTTCCTGATTTTCCCGTTTCTGATGAGAGTGCCAGCAGTTTTCCAGTTACCCAGGTTTATGTCCTCAAAATCATCTTTACGTGTTAACTCCGTAATATCTCAAAATTGCCAGGTCCTGTTGATTTTTTTTAATTGAAATTATTTCATTTTTAGCTCTGAATTTTTTGCTTCCCTTCTCCCCTTCCTAGTAGAGAAAGGGTTAGAGTTGGCAAGAAAAACAAAATCTATTACAAACGTGTAGTTAGACAAAACAGATTCCCACATTAGCCGTGTCTGTTCCCCTCCTTGGCAAAAAAGGGGGAAAAAAAAGCTTCAATCTGCACTAGAGGCCATTACATCTACCAGGAAGTAGGCAACATGGTTCATCATGAGTTCTCTGTAATTGTGGTTAATCATTGGGTTGATCAAAGTTCCTAAATGTTTCAAAGTTGATTTTACAATGTTACTGTGTAAATGCTCTCCTGGTTCTCCTCCATTCACCTTGCATTAAGTTTGTATAGTTCCCAGGTTTCTGTGAAACCATCCCTGTGAAATGAATTATAGCACAATAGGATTCCATCTTTTTCATATACCAAAACTTGCTTAGCCATCCTTCACTTAGCAGGCACCACCTTAGTTTTGCCACTAATAATGACAAGAGCTGCTATAAGTAATTTTATATGTATGAGTTCTTTGTTCTTTTGATCTCTTTGGGGCATAGCCCTGGTACCAGTGTCACTGGGTCAGAGGCTTTGCAGGATTTAATAGCTTTTTTGGACATAGTTCAAAATTGCTTTCCAGAACAGTTGGACTAGTTCACAGGTCCACCAACAGGACACTGATGTACTTTCCCTACAGCCTCTCTAACATTTGTCATCTTCCTCTTGCATTAACTTTGCCAATCTGATAAATGTGTGCTAGTACCCTGTTGTTTTTTGGGGTTCTTTTGCATTCCTCTATGAGTGATTTAGAGTACTCTTTATATGGCAATTATGGCCTGGATTTCTTCTGAAAACTACCTCTTCATATACTTTGACCATTTATCAACTAGAGAATGGCTTTTGAGTTCTGAGTCAGTTCTCTATATTATAAAAAAGACGTGAGAAATTTGCTACAATTTCTCAATTTCTTGCCTTCTAATTTTAGTTGCATGTGTGCAAAAACTTATGATGTACTCAGAATTTTCCATTTTACCTCCTTTGAACTTATCTTTTTTGGTCATGAATTCTTCTGCTATCCATAGCAGGCAGTTTCTTCCATGGTCCTCCAATTTGTAATGTCACCTTTATGTCTAAATCATATACCCATTTGGAGCTTGTCTAGCTATATGGTGTGATTATTGGTCTATACCTAGTTTCTGCCAGACTGCTTTCCAGTTTTCCCAACAGTTTTTATCAGATAGTGCGTTCTTATTCCAATCCCTGGGATCTTTAGATTTGTACAGCACTAAACTCTTGTGCTTATTTGCTTGTGTATATTGTGTACCTAATCTGTTCCACTAATCAACCTCTCTGTTTCTTACCCATTTTGATGATTATAGTTTTATAGTATAGTTTTAGGTCTGCTGCTACTAGGACCTCTCCTGCTTTTTTTTCATTAATTCCCTTGATGCTTTTGATTGTCCAGATGTATTTTATTATTTTTCTAAGCTCTGTACAATAATCCTTTGGTAGTTTCATTGGAATAGCATTGCACAAATTAATTTAGTTAGTATTGCCATTTTTTATTATATTGGCTCAGCCTACCCAATGAAGCAATTACTATTTCTCTAGTTATTTAAAGCTGTCTTTGTTTAAGGGGTGTTTTGTAACTTCATAAAATTCCTGTGTGTATTTTGACACACAGACACACACTATCTGTAGTAATACTTTGTACTATCTGTAGACTCTTCTGTTGGGTTTTTTTGGTAATGCATAGAAATGCTGATGATCTGTATGGGTTTGTTTTATTGTTTTGATTAGGTTTTTTTAATTAATTTTTTAGTTACTCTTTAGGGTTCTCTAAGTAAAACATCTGCAAAAAATTGTAGCTTTTGTTTTCTTTGCCTATGCTTTATTCCTTCAATTTTTTTCCTATTGCTATAATTTGCATTTATAGCATTATTAAATGATGATAATGGACATCCTTACTTTACCTTTGATCTTATTAGAAAAATCTCTAGCTTAGCCCCTTTACAGATAATGTGGGCTCTGTTTTAGATAAGTATTACTTATCATTTTAGGGAAAGTTGTTTATTTCTATGCTTAGTGTTTTTAACAGGAATGGGTGTTGTATCTTGTCAAAAAGCTTTTTCTGCATCTATTAATGTGGTCAATTATGTTTTTAGTTTCCCTAATAGAAGGAATCTGATTGGACCCTTTTCCTATTTTTTCAAACACTATGTAGTATTAGAATTAATTGTTCTTTAAAAGTTTAAAATCCATCTAGTTTTATGAGTAAGTTCATCCTATTCGTATTCATGTTCCTTAGGAGTTCATTTATGGCTTGTTCAATTTCTTTTTCTAAGATAGAGTTACATATTCTACTTGTTCTGTTAATCTGAAAAATTTATATTTTGTAATTATTTTATTTAGATTATCAGTTTTATTCACATAGCTGGGTAAAATAACCCCTAATATTTTCTTTTATTTCTTTTGTTGTGAATACCCTTTCATTTTTGATGCTGGTAATTTTTCTTTTTTAAAAAGTTAGCTAAAGGTTTGTTTTGTTCTTTAAAAAAAAACCTAGCTCCTATTTTGTTAATTCACTGGTTATTTTGCTTTCATTTTTGTTGATCTCTCCTTTGGTCTTCAGAATTTCTAATTTCGTATTGGGGTCTTAAATGTGTTGGTTGTCTAGTTTTAATTGCCTGCCCAATTCATTAGAGTGCTCTTTCTCTTTTAATGATTAAAGTGTTTGGAGATATAAATTTTTCCTTAAGTACTGCTTTGGTTGCCCCAAAAGTCTGGTATATTCTCAACACTGTCATTATCTTTAATGAAATTATTGTTTCTATGATTTGTTCTTTGGCCCACTTATTCTTTAGGATTGTTACTTTTTAAAAATTAATTTATTTTGATTTGTCAACTATCACTTCCATAAGCTTTTGAGTTTTAAATTTTTCCTACCTCCCTCCCCAAGGCAGCGTACAATCTGATATAGGCTATACATATCCATTCCTATTAAACATATTTTCACATTAGTGATGTTGTAAGAAAGAATCAGAACCAATAGGAGGAACTACCAGAAAGAGGAAACAAAACACAACAGAAGAAAAAAAATAGCAAATAGTATGCTTTGATCTACATTAAAACATAGTTCTTCCTTTGGATGTGGATAGCATTTTCCGTCATGAGGCCTTTGGAGATGTTTTAGGTCCTTGTATTTTTGAGAAGGGTTAAGTCCACCTACCCTCTTATTCCCCCGCCCCTTTCCTTCACCTTTTGTTTTCCCCTCTTGGTCTGTTGAGTATAATGTATTTCTGTACTCAACTCTTTGTAGATGTGTATATTCTCTCCTTTAAGCAGTTCAGATGAGAGGTTCAAGTGTGTCCTACTCCCTTCCCTATTCCCTCCTCCTTGTTGTACAGTTTTTTTTAACTTTCAGTTCAGAGGAATTTTTCCATTCTTCTCCTGTTGCCCTCCCCCTCCCCCTAAAAGTATTTTTCTTCCCCTTCCTTTCCAGTTTTTTAAGATCCTCAAAACAAACAATCACTACCAGGCTTTCTAATTAGATTGCCTCTATGACCCCTGGTGATGATGGAATTCTGAGGAGATACATATATCATCTCCCTGAATAAGAATGTAAACAGTTTAAACCAGGGTGGAAACCAGGGTGGCCTTCTAGGTCCTCAAGTGCAGCCCTTTTACTGAATCCAAACTTCACAGACCAAATCCCCTTAATGAAAGGATTAGGATTATTTAGGATTACTTGCTTACATGTTTGCCTTTTTATGCTTCTCTTGACTCCTTTGTCACATTTATTACTCAGCTCTGGTCTTTTCCTCAGGAATGCTTGCAGGTCTTCTATTTCACTACAGGTTTTATGTTTCCCCCATAGGATTATATTTGTTTTTGCTAGGAAAGCTATACTAGGTCAGAAGCCTAGCTTTTTTTTGCTTTCCGGACTTTGCTCCTTT